AAACGTAGAACACCTCCTGTAGTCTCTAGTTTTAAGAGCTGTTATATATGTTGGGGGAGGGCTAAAAATCCTGGGGTATAAGAACACTGGGGTAGACTTAGTTACATATGACACAGGCTTTCAGAAGCTCCTGCAAAAATGCGTTTGCAATGTCTGGCAGCTAGTATTAAACACAGGGTGACTTGGGGCAAACACTTCTGAAGTTAACAAATAAAGAACCAAGGCAGCTGTAAGGAGATGCTTTTATATACCAGAGTGCCACTAACACTACTCAGATACACTAGAGATTACATAAGGGTGCATGGGAAGGCCATAAGGATGACTTGCATATTCCTGTTAATATTAAACCCAATTTTCTTCCAACCAATGTATAAGAAAACCAGCCGAAGAGTTGATGAAACTTGGTTTCAGTTATCCAACTTCTCTTTCTTACTCCCTCTGAAGAATTGAACGCAAGATCTACTTTTCACTGTCCTTCCCATTTATTCTTCCTCTTTCTAACAGGCTGTCTGAATAGATTTCTACTGGAAACAAACCACACTCTCCACTGCAAATTTTATTGAGATAACATTAGACATGATACGGAAGTGTGTGCTCACAAGTAACCAGTATTTTGCTGAAGAAAAGTTATAAAATGCCATTGCTCCCTTCTATGCATGATTTGAATTATTTCTGCTGCCTAATTTCTAGAGAATCTAACAGGTTTCATCACCAGATATAGACTAGTAGTCTTAGTCTAAACAAGTTCACTAACAGCACTTATTAGCATTCTCAGATGCTTCTGTCTGTACATATGAACATCTCCAGTTTTTCTTTTTAGTACATGACCTATGATACTAGCACTGCTTTCAAGTTAGAACAAGAAATCACAATACAGCTTCAAAGTTTTGCTCTTCTCGGGATTAAATGTATGCAAGGCTATGACAATTCCATGTTTATCGGGCTTCTTAAAAGCAGTTTTTGTTTTACGGATCACTTCAGCATTTTTGACGTTTCTCACAAGTCTATCCAAATATGACTAACGCACAGGCTATTTGCTTTCACAGCAAAAGTGCAGAGGGTATTTGTCATTATAAATATCACATAGGGCTATACACACAGATGAAACCTGGGCTGCTTTTATGCTCAGAGTAATGCTTTGACATCAAAGCTGTCAAAAATCATCACAGGGTAAGAATTTAAAAATCTCATACAATGACCAAGTTGCTGAAGCCAAAGTAAGTATCATAAAAACAAGTTATGACCTAGCTCTAGTTTTTAAGTGAATGAAAAATTAGAGGGCAAGGAGGCCAAATATGTGAGCTTCAGAAAGAACGTCTCCTTGAATCTGTAAAGCAGGATCAATTAGATCTCACTGTTAGTTTACGGGTCTATCAGCATTTAACAAGAAACGAAGCGATGGCAGCAATCTGAGTCCCAGCTCATCAGTCACAAAGGTACAAAGCATGCAAATGGAAAACATATTTTCCGATTTGCTTCTCCCTAGAGGCCTGCACTGCTGTCTGAAGAATACAGCATTCTCCTTCCTTGGCTCATTTGCAAGATAAACATATTCTGGCCTCAAATGCTGCTCCTTTCCAACTGCTGTTAAAAACTCCAGTCAGAGATTAAGACGATGATCCAGGGCACTACTCAATCCAAGAAAAATGCTCATGTGGGAATGCAAAGCTGCTGCTGTGACCCAGACACTTTTTTCCACTGGACCTCAATCTGCAAGTCCAGATTCTAATATTTTCTATCTTTATTCTTTATCTACATCAACTTCCTTCCTAACCTTTTTTTTTTTTTTAAAAAGAAAATTCAAACATGTTTTACACTACTAGTTAAATACTGCTTTTCTGCACCTGTGATGACTTGTGGTGTGACTGAGACAGGCCTCATACCTCAGCAATGTCAAGCTGGGTCAATATTGAACTAGAATACTTCCAGATACCTGTAGGAAGCAGCATTAATAATTATAGTATAATTATATACAAAAAGTTGTATCTAAGCCATAATTAATCTATGGTTTCTTTTTGTTACACAGTATCTTGGGAGAATCTTGTAGCTGCTGGTACATCAGTCCCAACCCCTGCATGCAAATTCCACTTTGGCTCATTGCTTTTGTCACCTATCTCTCTCTGCAGTCTCCTTCGCTCCCCATTCTAAAAATGGTGTCTAGTGTTTCCTGAACATTAAGTATTCAGTGACTTTAATGCCAGAATCGGCTGCATTCATCACTGAGAGCAGTAGTTCCTACATATTCCTCGTATTTTCTCAAAAGGGTATGACCGAGTCATAATGGCACTCCTATGACAAGCTTTAAAACGCTAGTGAAAGAGACCAGGGAAACTGCTAGCTTTGGTATTATTTTTAGAGCTATGGACAGCTCCTATGTCCTTAGTACTTATTCCCCCACTTTGAACTCAAGACAAGGTATCTCAATTGAACACCAGATTAGAAGTTACAACAGGAAAAAGATTAATTTTTCCTGTTACAAAAGCCCTAAGCAAAATTAAATCATGGACTTGCATATGAACAAACAGACTTCTAAGGCTGCTTACAAAACAAGAACAGATTAAATTATCACAGTGATACAAAGACAAAATTTAAGTTGCAGTAAAGGCATGTAATCTCATTGTCAACAGTGGCTAGAACAAACTTTGTGAAGTCTGTATCTAGAGTTGGCCAAAACCCCAGAGATCTAGAAATCCTTGAACTTTAGGAAAGCTTTGATCCAGCCCAGACTTTGTGGCTCTGATTCACTTCAGCTTGGGAAAGATCCAGATCTGCTCAAAATATATTTCACAACACATTTTTGCCTGCCTTTTTTTCCAGATAGGTCATAAATACCACATGCAGAACCATTTTTCCTTATTCACAATACCTGCTAGCAGAGCCAGCTATTCCCATCTCCAACCCAAAGCATTCCAAAAAAAACAGTGACAGCAAGCTTCAGATCAGCTGACTTGCTATTAAGGAACAGGGAGAAAGCTAAGGTATAAAGTCTCCATCGGCAGCCTGTTCTGGAGCTCCTGAGAAAAATTCAAACCAATGAGAAATTGACTTGTACAGTATGAAAAGGCTTGCCAAGCATGAAACCAGCCATACTACTCCTTTCTTACTATCCCCAGAAAAAAGAAAGAATGATTTGACTACAGTTTCTAAACAAGTGCAGTAAGCAAGTCCACTTTGTTTAAGGTAACAGCTTCACTCACTGCAGTAGGAGAGCAGCGATCACAAACCATGTAGGGAAGGCTGTGGTTTTCAGGTGGCCTAGCTGACAGTGATGAAACTGGGTATATCTGTTTGGGGAAAAGGAGTTAGACTAGCTCTTCTGACCACCTTTACAGTAGATAATTTAACAAATGAGGTGTCAGTAAATATAAAAAAATTGCTATTCTGATAATACACTGCCAAACCCCTAAGACCCACGGATCATTGGATAACTTAGGTAGACAGGATCTCAGGGAGTCTCTAGTCCAACTGCCTGCTCCAAGCAGGGTCAGCTGTGAGGTCAGACCAAGTTGCTCAGGGCTTTGTTCAGTTACATTCTGAAAACCTCTAAGGAAGGAGACTGCCCAACTTCTCTGGGCTACCTGTGCCCCTGCTTGACTATCCTAGGGTTGAAAAAGTTTTTCCCTATAGCCAGTTTGAACCTCTCTTGTTTCAACTTAAACTTCTCTCTCATCTTCCTGCCACGCACCACTAAAGAGCCGAGCTCCATCTTCTAGATAACTTCTCCATATGTATTAGGCAGCTACTGTTAGGTGCCTCTGAAGCTGTTTCATCTCCAGGCTCAACAAGCCCCATTCCCTCAGCCTCTCCTCACAGGGCAAGGGCTCCAACCCCCTATCTTAGTGGCCCTCTGTTCATCCTGCTCCAGTTTCTTTCCTGTACTGAGGGCCCAAAACAAGATGCGCTGTTCCAGAGGCAGTCTAACAAAGTGCTTAGCTGGGGAAGATAATCACTTCTCTGAATCTACTGCCTGGGCTCCTGTTAATTTAACCTAGGCCCTCTGGTCTTCTCTGCCAGCAGGGCACACTGCTAGCTCATGTTCGTCTTCCCATCTACCAAAAGTCCCAGGTCCTTTTCCAACAGAGCTGTTTCCCAGCCAGCCAGCCAGTCCCCAGCATATATTACTGTCAGGGACTCTTCCTTCTCT